AACAACGGGTTACAATATTATTAAAGACTTCATTATCGAAGTCTGTGAATTTTCTTTTTTCTCCCTCTGTGGCCCTAATATTCTATCATTTTATATATAGCCTTATAGTCTATGGGAAACTTAAATTATCTAATGATAGCAACATCATCTAAAAGTCATCATTTATCCAAAATGATTGAAATTAATGATCACAAACGTTTAAACAATGACAGTGGGTCTAATTATATGGATAACAATGTATAGTGTGCAGTGAAATAACTATTGGTTTCTGTTTGTGGTGACTGCTGACTGACATAAGGGATGAGATTAAATAAATCCTGGAATTTAGCCTGGTCTGGAGCAGGCTAGCTCCACAGAATAAATCTCCATGGTAATTTATACCATAACATCCTACCGCCATCTAATCCAGCTTTAGTGCAACCGGATCACGGATAAATTGAGCCAGGATCACTAAGATATCCCGGCTTAATCCCTTATCCTAGTTTTGTGCAATAGGCCCCAGGTTTTTACATGTTGTTATGCCAACTATAAAGTGTTTATCGTTTACTTTTACGCTGACCATTTTCAAAAGGAAGACGGTGCTTAGGTGATTCTGTTTAAATCAACATGTAGAGACATTTTGTTGTTGGGTTAATCCCTCACAGACGATGTCATGTCTGCTTGCATTGATGTCACGTTTATGCACTGTTAAAAGATTTGATAAGTCACACAACAATGAGCTCTGACATCAATAAACGCTGAAGTGTCTTTCACAGCACCCAACAACGCTACAAATTTAGAGATGCTCTTGTACACGCTGCTGTTCAGCATGAAAGCAAAACTGTGTTTACATGTGGTAAAACAGGCTCTCAACAATTATGTCAATGTGGCAGTGATGCAAACAGCAGTTCAGATTGGGTTACCAGACTGAGTGAGTTCATGGTGTGTGGGAGGATCAAGTCAAAACAAGTGTGTGCCTGTTAACATACTATATGTGCATGTGGGTACTGGGTATGTGCATCTAAAGTGGGGAAAGACATATCTGCACTCCATCAGCTTCCCCCTAAAGCCACTGTCAGTGTTACGAGTTCTGTTCTGTGACATGCAATCTGTGTTTTCATGCAAAAGCCAAATACAAAATGCATTCACACAAATTCTAGTGGCACATATAAACACACACGTGCGTCCTCTCAAACAACCATTTTTCTCTCACCTATCTGCCATTATATACTGAAACAGACCCAAAACAACACCAAGTAAAAAACGGTTTCTACGATATTCTTGAGATGTGGGCTTGGGGTGTGTGCATCATAAATCTTTTAACCAGGACAACGACATACTGTAGCACTCCAGTCATTATCTTCCTGTGAAGCAGAGACAGCACAAAGACTAAACCAAAACAGTCATGCATAATGATAATAATCAACACCACCTAACGCCACAAACAAACAGCTCAACACATCCATACACACACGCATACACAGCTCCACTGCTCCCTGAGCGAAATAAAACACAATAGTGCAAGTTTGGCAGCGGAAACCCACATTAACAACTCTCTTCCTCCCCGACACCATTTCACAAAGGTGTTGTTTCTATCAGCACTGCCTCACTTACCCTCAGCTAGTGAGAGACATGTACACACACACACACACACACACACACACACACACACACACACACACACACACACACACACACACTTAGAGAACAACTCTAACTCAATCTCTTATTGAGGGAAAGCTCTACTGCACTGACCACTATGAATTCAAATTCTGTTGTAGGTCAGGTGTGGTCTGTTGTACCTGTTACCACACCCAGATGTGATTTTCTACTGCAGAGGATACAAACTGATGTTTCAACCTGCTGCAGCATTTAACACTTTTCTATGGACAGTGTTTTTAACTGCCATAAACTACTTCCTTCTCATGTTTCCAATCCCCTTTTTTTTTTTTTTTTTAAACACAAGCCTAGCTCTGATTGCATCTCTCAGCTCTGGCTAGCTAACATGACAGCACATAACCACCACTCAGCTCAAATAAAATTCCTGCTACCATATTTCTGATTTGCTTTCTATTCCAGGCATGTGCAGACATCTCACAATGATGTCACTCAGAAACTCGTCTTTTGTCACATCTGTCACACTTGTGATACTTTTCACCACATGTTTTAGATGTGATTTCTACATGAGCACACACAGATAAACTTTTTCTCCATGGGATTCAAAATGGACTTTCACTTTCCATCTGAGTTCTTGACACACTGGTGTGAAGCTCTGCAGTATCCTGCAGTACATGCACCCTAAAATGTTTGATAGGTTTTAATTTAAAATGAAACTGGGCTTTCTTACATTTTTATTTTGCTGGTACAGTATTTAGTGTAATGTCTGTAGCAGAATATAAACTGAACAGGAATGCATATTGTGCAGAAACAACAGTTATGCTCTCACTCAGTCCTTTATTCTTTAACTCAGCACAGACAAATAATTTATCTGTAGTACAGTGTGCATGGGTGCTTTGATTAGATCACTACGTTGATCGATTTCTCTGTGGCTGCATTAAACTTACCTCTAGGCTGTGGCGGGCAGCAGCGGAGCAGCTGGAAATGGAGGTTGTCAGTGCGAAGACTCTGGCCCTCCAGATGCTCCAGCAGCTCCTTGAGAGTGGACCGAAATGTCTCGGTGCCATACAGGCGGTACCCACCAGAAGCCACCTCCATCTGGAAATTCTTATACTGACGCACAGGACGAGACTCCCTCAGGTCAATCTAAAAGAAAGAGAAAGGGGAGAGAGGAAAGTTTAAAATAAAGGAAAATACAAGTGTTGCATAAAGTGTAAAGAGTTAGTGTAAAGTTACAAATTAAAGCAAAGAGGTGCTTATTTTGTGTTTATTATTTTAGAAACCATTTCTTTCCTCTTCCTGACAAGTAGTTCTGTTAAAGGTCCACAAGCACTCTTAAACAGTGTCTGTTTAGACAGTTTATACAAGATCTGAATTCATCTTGATGTGTTTGTGGCTATTTATACAAGATTCAGTGGCTCAGCTTCGTGAAATTAACTGTCCTAATAAAACATGGTTCATTCACATCATCTTCTACTACAGCCACACAGCACTGTGCAAAGTTTATAGTACTGTTTTTCCCTAATAAACATTTTAATAGTAGAGAGACATGGAGAAACTTAACTTGTACAAAGACAGTGGGTGTGGCTTTGATACTTGGTATCAAAGACAGTGGGTGTGGCTTTGATACCAGGTTTTGTTTAGAAAACCTGACTAGCACTCACTACATGTTTCTGCTCTCAAACATAGCCTTTGTCCATTTATTTTTATTTTAGTTCCTTAACAGCCACATTGCCACGGTTTTCCCTGCCATAGAAAGGCTTAAACACACCACCTAAGAGTTTCTGGAAAGCACCTTAAGCCGAATAAACATAAAAGGCCTTTAGTGAACATATTAGAACGAATGTACACTAAAACAACAGGGAGAATTCTATGCTCTGAAAAAAATAAGAATAGACTTTTGACTATATGTACAATTGACCATATGTACAATAAGCAGTACCAGCCTTCATGTAAAAATGTTGTAAGAATAATGGTAAAAAAAAACAAAAAAAAGAAAAGAAAATAACTGTAAATTTCCTTCAAATAATTTCAAGCTCCCCAGCCACCAAAACCCCCTCGACCACACTCAAACCCTCTGGAAAAACCTATGGAAATCCCTGAACATTGCCTTCTAATCTTGGATTTCCTCTAGTTAATATTATTTTTCAGTTTCTTCAAATAAATGTTCAGTTAATACTTTTAAAATAAATATGTAGTGAGACAAAAGTGAGTGGGGTTTTGGCCAGTGACCGACAGTAATATTTGTTTTTATTGGGAAATTACTTATAATTTATGCATAATTATCTTGCAGTGGCACATCAAATCTTCTACAGTTTTCTGGAGTTCAGTAAACAAGGGATAAATGTGAAACAACTGGGATTTTGTGGGGGATAAATGAAATACAGCTTCCTAACACCTAACGAATAAGTCTTCCGTACCTCGGTGCAGACCACAGTGATGATGATGTACTGGTAGTCAGTGCAGCTCCAGCGCAGGATGTAGGTGCCCTCCTCGTTGCCCTCCTGACGCAGCTTGTGGACAGCATACTCCGTACTAGAAAGGGGAACATACAGTAAATGGGAGCAGTAGTGGAACCCTATCAAAAGGAGACTGAAGGATTTAAGAATGACTTTAATATACGCTGTAATGAAAGTCCATTTAGTATTACTATCTTGGTTTTTACTGCATATTGATGATCACCTGTCTATTATTGATCCATTTTAAAAAATCTAATCTAAAATCTTTCTAAAATTCTAATATAGAATGACAGATAAAAGAAAATGCTAGAACAAAGTGTTTTGCAAATGCGCTTATTTGTCAGGAGAACAACAATAACATTTAGACAAACCTTATTGTTGCTACAATAGAAACCTTGATTTAAAAAAAAAAAATGCAGGTTAGCAATGAAGATGTCAATAGCCTTTATTACAAAACCTTCCATTTAAACTGACTGATTTAAAAAGCAGTGTGTGATCTCTGTTCAGGGGGAAGTAGAAGTCGGAACCATTACATTCAAGTTATGCTTTATGATGAATATGTCTAGTGAGACTACTTGTGTCCAGCAGCACAGTGTTTTTGTGAGGAAACAGGCACATCAACAAAACACACACCACCACCACCAATAAAAATGCCAGTACGAACCAGATGGATCCGTGGCAGCTGTTGTTGATGTTGTGCACCACGGAGGCAGGGGCCACCTCTTTGCACAGGTAGTGGTGAGCGTCCACTGTCAGCCTGAAATATCCATCCACAAGGGCTGCAAAAGAAAGAGCCTCAGCCCGAGAATCCATCTGCAACACCTAAAAGGAGAAGATGCGGGAAGAGGAATGAATAGACACCAGCAGGCAAGAGGTCATCAGAGTAGCAGCTATTATAAAACCAAAATAATCCAGAGAGCTGACTACAAGAACAGTGATCTATTTCAAAACTCAAAATCTGTTTTCATAATGAAGCATTACATCAGCATTATTGTTTGTCTCACCATCCTCTTGTTGTCCTGTCTAAAAATGGTGACCATTGCCTCTCTGACGACGGCATGTGTGATCTCATCAAAGTCACAGAACACCACCCAGCCTTCATTTGCCTCTTTGTTTCTGTCATTTTTCTGCTTCCCATCAAGCTTGTTTTTCTTCGACTTGCCCTTTTCTTTGGTACTCCCAGATGCCTAAAGTAGATATACACACACAGGTTATGAAGGAAAAGAAGCCATTACTACTTTGACTTTGTCAGCTACTGTCATCTGAAAATATTGCAAATGCCTTCACAGGGTTTGTCTTAAATAATCTGCAGTGCTATCAGATTTGGACTTGTCACCTCAAGTATCAACTAAGATACACAACTAAATGCTGTCAATATGAAATGTGGTATTGATTAATCTGCAGATTATCTCTTCGATTAAAGCAACATTTCTGACATTATAAAATGTCAAAAAAATAATGAAATGCCAGCAACTTTGCAGAGCCCAAAGGGAGGTTTCTTTTTGTAACTAATATCCAAATATATACAGCTTACTATTTTAAATGGCAAACCTGATAACCAGTAAGAAATGTGTCTGCCAGTCGCGTGCCACTGTCAGCTTACGAAACTAGAGGCCCTTAAATAGAGGTACTACTAACAAATAGTTTCACTCACAAAAGCAGGCTTCTTCCTCCAGGAAATACCAGTGGTACCAGTAACCAGAACTTGCATGTCGTGGCTTGTCTCCATGTTTTGACTCTGGCTCTGCCCTTGGCTCTGGGTGTAGTACCCTGGAAACAGCAAGCAAACATTATATGGGAGCAGAGCCAAAATATTTTAATGCTATAGTAATATGACATATTGATCATTGGAAAAATATTTATTAAGTTAGCTGTTTTGTTTCACAGTATTGTTTATGGAAAACCTTGCAGCAATTATACAGAGAAGAGTGAATCCAAGGAAATGTATTACTGGCTATGGCTACTGTATGTTTCCACTGAAACCAACTACATCTCAATGTGACAGATAATTTTAGCAATAATACGATGATAATTTGAGCACACTCCTCCTGTACTGTTACTCCAAAGACACATGGACTGTGCTGGTCAACAAACAGTTCTTTTTTTTTTTTTGGTCATTCCTAATAACCTGTAATTCTAGTAAAACTGCATTTCAAATTAAAACCCACAAATCTGACAGGGTTGCTGAGAACTTCAAATCATGGGTAGTGACTCTTCCTAAAACCTTACCATTGTAGCCACCGTTGCAGAGCTCCCCTTCCTGTGTTACACTGAGGGACTTGGGCTCATGCAGCTCTCTGCCGAGGCCACTGGTCAGGCCCTCGAGTGTGGCCAGATACTTGATCTTCAGATCATATGGCGTGATGTTACTGTCCTTGACTGTACGGTGATTGAATTCACTGAGGAATTTCTTGAAGACGTTGCTGATGCGAATGCGTGTCAAAATGTTGCGGTGCTTAATGCTGTGGTTCAGTGACTCGGGGATATAACGTTTGTAGCTGGTGGGAATAAGAAAGATAAAAATTATTAATTACTATGTGCTTCAGCACTTATGTCCTATGCTTTGCAGAAGCGTAGGAGAAATAATGCATTAAATGGTGTCTCCGCTGAAAAGCAAGCAAGATAATGTATTAATGACCATATACATGTGCAATATTTGCCATGTACAGAATTCATCCCATGAAGCTGTCCCAACTCTAAAAGACATATCTTTTACATCTTCCTTTAAAATGTTGTGTGAAAAGGCAGTTTAAAGTGAATGTAAGTGAAATGTATACTTTGCAGATGTTATCTTGTGAATGCAATATCGTCTTCCAGACATCTCTCAAGTACTGGATGTAAGAGCTGCCTGCTACGGGAGCAGAACATCACCTGTGAAAAATCACTAGGTTTTTTAGGTGTTTTATTTTCCATTTGTGGAACTGAGCTCGAAATATCAGAGCCATCACTGAAGCTTGATGGTTCAGTGACACCTTGCTCACTGACACATTTCAGTTAGCTTTTGAGAATTTACCACGATCATAAACAAGAAAACACCACTGCTCTTGATCCTTCTAATAATTCTGATAATGCTCTGAATTAAGAGAACATGTTTTTTTTTTTTCATCCCCGACGTGTGAATTTAACCACTGGATGTAATTAGCATGCGAGACAGTGCTTGCTTGTGTCACCCTGTGGAAGTGCAACGGCCTGTTTTTTGCGCTTTTCTGCCCTTGAAGAGAGAGAGACACTTAGAGCAAGTAGTTTTCATACAATTTCCCAGGGTGACATCAGAAGCTTCACGTCACTATCGTTCTTCTTTAGAAAACCAACAGTTCAAGCACATGTCATTCTGCACGTGTGTTACCTCATTTCATGGGAAGCAGTGGGCAGGGGTATGTCCTTGTCCATGGCGTAGTGAGTGATAGCAAGCACAGCCATGCCCAAACACTCATTTTCTATCTCGTGTTGCTCTGCCTCCGACTGACATGTCCTCAGTGAAACCATGCCTGTGTGAAAGTCATGCTGGCCCTGCACAGCAAACATTTATTTAGATTTAGAAGAAAAGCAAACAGAGAGGCACAACAAATACACATGGCCATCAACACCTGAAAGAGCTCCACTCGAAACTGGGAGGTTATAAGATACAAGGAATGATTTACAACACAAGTCTTGACAAGATAAGAAAATTAAATTAGACATCTTATTTTCATGGCATTTAGATGAAAATTCGAATGCATTTGTTATATTTTGGTCAGTTGACATTTTAAGAAAGAAGCAGTTATATGTGATTTGGAACCGTACATTCCTGAGTTAGAACTTCTTTCAGTCTTTTTACATTTTACTGAACTGAAAGAATTTAACTGACAGTTGCTCTAAATTACACTGAAGAGCTATGCAGAGTATATCTGACCTTTAGGATGCAGTTCCTGATACCGTTACATTTCCTCCCAGCTGTTCATGTTTGGAGACTCAACTGAGATATTTGTGCTTTTAAACTGAATGTACTTTCAAAAGGTATTTCAAAAGAAATAAATACATAAATTATTAAAATACATTATTGGTGGCACCAAATGTTTTGAGATTTGGCTTAATAAATTCTGTGCATGGGCAGCACTAGGAGAGCATTGCCTAAACCACTCCAAGGACAATATAAAGGAAACTAAGTAACTAGGGGTGGGCGTTTTAGCAAAAATATCATTTCATGATCTTTCCCAGGCATGATCACGATCCATGATCTTAGCACAATTCTGTTTCATGTTGACTGTTTTGCAAGTTACTACAGCAACAGAATGGCTGAGTATGTCATAGCGCAGATCAGCCATTTTGAAAGCCTCATTTTTCCAGTTTTTTGAGGAATCATCTCTTGGCCAAGTAAAATGTCACTGAACTGGTCACAGCTTTCCAACACATACTTGTCCTGTCACACAGAGCACCTTTCTCAAATGCTGTCGTTAGTTGTTTGTGCAGTTGTAGCTGATGCATGCATGTCAGGTCCTCTCACTGTTTGACAGCCAGCACACTCTTTTGGGTGCTTTAAAAGGTTTTTTGTGTTGCCATCTGACATGTGAACCCTGTCTCTTTAATATTTCCAAATAAGTGCTGTTTTCACCTTGTTGATTCATGAAAATCGGAACCAGTTCCATATACCAATGTCAAATTCTTTTTAGGGACCAACTCTTCTGTGTTGACATCCATGTCGCTACGTAGCCAAACAGGTACACTATATGGTGATGGTACACTATATGGTGTTGCATGTTGGCCATAGAACTGCAACTGACAGAATGAGCACTGTAGCACCATACAAACAATCTCAAAGGCAAATCATGGAGACATTTTAATCATTCATGATCTGATATAGTCATATTACACATCCCTACTAGGAACCGATTGTGTTCGAGGACTTCATCTAATCCAAACCCAATGCAAACACATACCTGGGCAAACAGATAGTTGAGAGAGGCAGCGTCCAGCAGGGGCATCCCCTCCGGTGTTTTCTGTGGGCTAAGGCCCCCTTTGAGTTTACTGAGGCAGTGTCTCCAGACTGGAGACACCCCTTCAGTGGTGCCATGCCAGTTTAGGAAATAAAACCTGATAGGAGAGAGACAGAAGACCGGTTAACAAAATTAATACAGGGTGTGGATGCAACAAGCGAACAAGCAACCAAAATGCACAGGATAACATGAAGATGACATGGATCATGATCTTAAATGTTCAAAATGCCACTACTACTTTTGAAATTGCTGCCTGAAAGGAGGAGGATATTCTATAAATAACCTAGAAAATAGGAAGGATTTCAAAACCAAAGCGGAGGGTCTGGGAGTCCTCCCCCAGAAATATCTGAGCTTCAAAGACATCGTTTCCCACATTCTGGCAACTTTAAATATGAAAATAATAAAATAAGTACAACACAATAGCATTTTTATGTAAAATACTTTTAATTCTCAGTGAAAACAAACATAATAACTTGCCTCCTTTAGCAAGAACTTTGACATAAAAATAAAAATGTATCAGTTTATTTGTTCAGGGGTGTCAGACTTATTTTATTTCTTATTTATTGCATGCATGCCAAGAAGGTGTAGCTGTATTGTTGTCTGGGTAGAAACAAAACTCTTAAGATTCACAGTACCAGGAACATGTTGTGATAACAAAAAGGGAGGGAAATGTGTGAAATTAGTCATAAATCAGGAGAAACTCAGGAGAATTTTGATCGTGGGAGGAAACAGGGAGAGAGAGTAGTGAAAAACAGGAGTCTCCATGGAAAATCGAGAGGGTCGGGAAGTAAGATGTATGCAGTGTTTAAAGATTAGAGTAATCCTCATTTGGTCATCTCCACTTTCACTTTTCATGAAGGATCACCCATCCAGTTAGAATTTCAGTGCTGGGTTATTTTCTTTTAGGTTTTAACCTACTTTTCTGTTATCTCTGACATGAAGCAATTCTTCAGCTAGCCTGCACTTTGCAGAGGAAATATGTGATCTTTGTCTTTAAGACGTCACAGATATCTGTCTACACCCTTCTCAAACCGACAGCATTCTACACAGAAAGACACCAGCTGAATAGGAGCTAGAACCACTGTAGGGCAGCAACATAACCCATGCAAAGCCACCTTGCCCACTTTTTTTGTAACCTTTTAAGCAACACTTGCAGCCTGGAGTGGTAATGTCAGTCTGTGCATCAGTTTGGTCCAAAACTCCAGGCTGACACATCTAATTTCAACAACTACATGATGGATTGACCTGAAATCTTGTACTGACATTCATGGTTGTCATATGATGCATCATCTTCCCATCAGCTGTATTTGTGTTTAACACAATTTAGCAAATGTTAGCCAACACACCAAAATAAGATTGTAAGCATGGCAAACATTATTCCATCTAAACATGGGCATGTTGCACTGCCACAGTAAGCAGGTTAGCACACCAAGGTATTCACTGACATGGCTGCAGACACCATTTCTTTTTTGTTTTGCTCCATCCTGGAGACACTTTAATCCCTCAGTTTGTCTTTATGTTGAGTATTTGTATATGCTAAAGATAGTAGGTATATCAAGACTCGACCACAATACATTTGTTCAGAAGACTGCACTTGAATATGCAAAGCACGCTGCAGCGTGAAACACATACAAACAGGCACACACAGCACATGCCGCATTTAGGTTCTATGCACACTCGCTTTTCTCCCCACCAGTTATTGTCAGAGCAGAGCACAGAGAAAGAGGAAATGCAATTGACACCAGAGTAATGTTATTTTTCCTCTTTGATGAAATGCTGTTTACCTTGTAGAACGGATTCACTGAACAGGGACTTATCCCACTTGAAAACAGTCGAGTCAGGTACAAATATGACACTACTGATCTGCCTCTTATAGAACCAGTTTCTCCCTGGTTATAAGAAATTGTATCTCTTCTAATAAAGTCAAGTAGCTGCCTGTAATCTTAGCATCACTTGTAAAGGTTGTAGGATGGCTGTATCCCACAGCTTTCTACTAATATTCTAATTTCTTTCTATGCCTATTCTGAGATTGTATTAGTTTATGACCAAAGGTTTAAACAGCTCTCTCTGAAACACTACTAACCTTCATCCTTGCTGAACTCTATTGTTTGAGATATATTTAGCCATCTTCCTTTCTCTTTGACCTTATTAAGCCAAAGTGAGAATCGAGATCTAACTAGCTTGTCTCAGCTTGCCAAGCTACCCATTGCAAATTGCTATGTTATGATCTTAGACCGTACAAGCAGAGTTACTGCAGATTCAAAATGCTGAACTTGTTTGCTTTCAGCTAATGTCATGATTTTTATGACATTATGAAGTTATGTCATATGCCTTCCAGATTCCTCTGTCAGCAGTACCTGTAGCACTTCACAAACCTAGCACTGGCATTCATCTTGCTCCTTTTTTTACAACTCTTACAATTGACAATTGGGTGTAGGCCCAGGCCAGCCAGGATGAGGCATACAGTACTTGTCTATGTTCCAAGACTAGGAAGGCCTGGCTCAGGTAGGCCCAGTATCACTACCCCAGACAAGGTAGCTCTTCTGTGAAGTAGGAGTTCTGTAAAGGTCTTCAAATTGCCCCTATGCTGAACACTCACCCCAATTATTTTTCAAATAATATTTACACTATACAACACTGCAAACTTGGAAGTGGTTCAAAACATAGTTTGTTTCGATGTGAGAGGTGACTTTATGGATGTAAATCACAGCTAGCGTTATTTACAATATCCATCTCCATATGAGTCAGTCTGTGCTGTGAGTGCATTCTTACCTCATGCGATAGTGCAACTTGATACTGGCTTCTTCTGTGATCTTGAACTCATAATTTGGGGGGTACCATGTGCTAGTCGTCTCATCATACAGGGCAAATAGATTATGGCACATAGGAGAGATTGCTGAAAAAGGGAAGAGAAAGATGTTAAAAAAAAAAAACAACATTCAGATCTGAGTTTTTATTTTAGCCCAGCTAAACAGAGCTGACAACTGACAAATCAGTTCCAATTACTAATGGTTGTATAGAGAGAGAGACACTTCTTGTAAGAGCTGCTTGTAAGAGAGGAACAGTAAGTGCTTAGCTTTTGATCTATGGTTGCAACTGATTTACAATAGCTCCATGTACTATGATTATTAAAGGGGAGTCATCGATTCTCTAACAACTATAATTTCCATCTTGTTTGGGATGTAGTGCGCAGAGCCACTTAGCTTTATGGTAACGGAGACTGAAAGTTACTCTTTAAAGATGTATTTTTCCCAAATGTTACAGAATAGGACATGGCAATTATTTTCACTTCTGAGGGTTGCTGGCAGAGGGGGAAACCTAATAATGACTATAGTATAATAATTATCAATGTTTAAAAACTGAGATTGATCAATTCTTCAACATAGCACTATGTCATTGCAGCAGAACTGGCACAACACTAGAGGTTTTATTATTAGGTTTATCAAAACATAACCAGTCTTGCATGTATTGTACATAGGGATGTAAAAAAAAAAAAAATCGTTATCTCGTTTTATTGTGATAAATGAATTTCTTGAAAATGAGGTGGGACTGTGACAGTATCTACCAGGATGTTACATAAGGTTATTTTGCTAGTATAACTGCATTCAGTCACAGAATCTGAAACGGGCATAGCGGATACTTCATAGTCAACTTTTAAAGCTGTTCTGTGGCAGCATTTCAGTTTTCCTGTTTCGTGAAATGGCAAGCGGAAAGGAAAGTAACAAACACTGAACAATTTGCATAAACTGCGCGATAAAGGCGGTACACGCTCTATTTAGGATTGAGACAATCCTGATACTTCTCGCAGAAAAAGCCGTGCACAACTTTGACGGAGATGTGCTAACAAACCGCGTGCACCTATGCCACACCAGCCACCTATTAAGCACTGCTCAAGTCTTTTCTCTTGAAAAGTAAACCACTATGACTGGAAAAACACCACCAGTAAAGCACAAGTCTCACATGAATAGTCTGCAAGTGTTTTTTTTCCCCCCGAGTGTCTCTTTTACTTGTTCTGGGATGTGAAGCAGCAATTTGCTTACTACTGCCCCCTGGTGGTCAGGGGGATACCCGCTTAACTGGTCAAGGTCAAGCTTAAGAAAATGATATCACCATCAAAAGTTGTCTAAATAAATGTTTGTTTGAAATTTAACACACACACATAGGGTGGCAATGTCTATCTCCAGACTAAATTTCATCTGGACCTGATCCAAATTACAGATCTGACGGCCATTTAAAGTTAATATTGAAAACCCCATTTAATGCATATTTTCTACCGCACCTTGGCCTAAAAGATGATCCAAACCCGATCCAGATCAAGGATTTTAAGACACGTTTTGTGTTGTTCTGGATCTCATTCTTCACAAGGGACCCAGTTGCGTTAGCAATTGTTATGCCTTGGCGGAGGTACATGCACTCTCTGAGTACACTTGCTTTAAGTGTATTTTGCATTAGTGGCAGTCTTTTAAAGTCTCTGTTCCCAGCTTGTTGTAAGCTTCTGTTCACTTTGTGCACTTGTTGTATGTGTTATTTTGTTATTAATTTATTTGTTGATGCTTGCAATCATGTCCTGTAATGATCACTGCTAAACATAAACAGGACCCTGCAGACAGTATCCACATTTAAAGTATAGATGGACCAATCCACTGGACACCTGCTGCTATCAATTTTGCCAGTTTGCCAACGCATCAGTCACTTACAGCATTCCTTGGCAGCATCCACACAGAGTTCCTCGGCAGTGTAGCATCCTTTGAAGTACTCTAGCTGGTTCATCTCCGGTATGTAAAAGTGGATCTCCAGGCCCCAAGTGGAAGTAGGAGAAGAAGAAAGTTGGGCCCTCTTGCTAGACCTCCTCATCTTCCCGCAGAGTTGCCTGCTCAACTCCATCACCCACAGAGTTGGCATTCAGACACTGGATACATGAAGTGAGAAAAAGAAATGGGGGAAGTAGAATTGTTACATTAAACCTTAAAGTCTTGTTAACATCACCAACGAAGCCTATGGGCAGAAGTACTGATTGTGTGGTGAGCTAAGCAAACAGCAGCACAGACTCAAAATTCATTAATCTGATGACTCATAATGTGCACACACAGACACACACACACAAGCCCCTCACACAGAATACACTGGTGCATCATTAAATTCACACAGTGTAAATGAAATGGCGTCAGCTTTTCAACTGAGCTGGTGACATCATTCCAGAGTACAGATTGTCTGAATTTAACTGCTGGATGAGTCAAACAGACTGCTCACACAGGCTGTACAACAGTTGCAGCCATAGGTCATTCAGTGACTACACAGGAGCCAATCACCCCTAGTAGAGTACTGGACACTAAAGCTTGATTTATGGTTCTGCGTTGAAAGTACGCCCTAAGCGCAGCTTAGGTAACGCATAGCCTTGTATCATACACCATAGGCATAATCTGGCTTACACCTCTCCAGACATGTAACTACACGTCGTGGCGACACAGACTGTAACAACTATGACTGGCTGCATAGCTCGTCCATGTCTCTCAGTGTCCGGACGAGCACACCCCACCCATTCTGCTACAGTTGGTTCAGTGCTCATACAGAACACCTCCTCCAGGTCTTCTCTTTTATCTGTGCTGCAGTAATTTCACTAAAAATAACTGCTGTTCACATCTACTAGTTTTAACTCCAGTATGATGTGGTGAGTTTCACTTGCAACTGGTAAGTGACATAGAAACCCTACCGCCAACTAGTGTTTTGGCGGTGTAATTGCAGGGCGACACCACTGCACAGGTATAAATGCTCACAATGGCATAGGCTACCTACATAGCCTACGGTGTAGTCTCTATGTAGCTTCAACACAGAAACATAAATCAATATTAAATGCCTCAACAGATTAGCAGAAATGACAGTTACAAAAATATGCTAAAATCTATATAGGACAAAACAGTGGCATGGTGGATGCTGACCATAGGATCATGGTGTTTATCTCATTTCAACAAAAATTAATCAAGGGAAATGTGAGAAACTGTGTAAAACTCAACAACGTATCTCTGTGGACCGAACTGAATCACTGAACTACAACTGTCCTGTTAACTCCGCTAACCAAGAACACTAGCGATCCTAGCAACAAACACTGATCACTGCACTGACATGTACCTGAATGTCACAAACAAGGATCTGCACACAAACCTAAAAAGTGGAGAAAAGCTGTGAAAAAGGTGTAGAGACAAAGAGAGAGAGGCCATCCTGTGTGTGGTGACCCAAATAACCACAGTGTCTTTATCATCCGCTGTATCATTGTCCTTTGTTGCATGTCACAGCTAACTTCTTATTAAACTGACAAATACATTCCACTGAATCGCTTGACCACAAGAACAGAGAATACATCTTTTCTGCTCATTCTGTTTCACACTAAACTTAAAGGGATCATATTTGAATCAACTGCCAAACTGTTTTTTTCCAATCATGTGACCCTGTAAGTGCCAATTCTCAAACATAATCATGGGTAAGCAAAGTAGTCAACCTGCCAGGTTTTCTGTCTTCTAACAGTCATAATTTCTGATCATTTTCTTCTATTGCAGCTGAATTTCTTAAGAACAAGTTTTCAGTGAGTCATCTGCCTGTCTAGCGAGTGAGTGAATCACTATTCCTTCTACCTAATTTCACCTCAATACTTCTGAATGTCTCTTCTATGTATTATATATACACACACACACACACACACA